GTATGCAAAAGGTAGCGGGCGAATGTGGCTATATTTGTTGCGTGGCGCCTGACCCGATGGTGGAGGACTGTAGTAATCTGCCACAGGAAGAAAGCAGCTCTTAGTTTTCCGCTTTTGAAGCTTGGAGAAAAGCATTTTGATTAAGATTCTGAGGACCAGGAACAGGTCGGAAAAACAGATGTCTGAGGTGTCGGTGGTTAATATTGAAGCCAGTTATTGCCGTTACTTTACAGAGTTAGATTTATGCTAACGGGAAATCAACTCGACTGTAACTATCAGGGTAAATCTATAAAATTATGAAATAGTAGGTTTTTGCCCTCGATTAACAAAATTTTGTGCGTCGGTGCATTGAAATTTAACATAAATATATGTCAATTTGAATTTTTTCCTCAGATCTTCTAACACAATTGTAATTGTACTTCCACCAGCCTGTTGGCCGCAGTTTTGTTCTTACGACGTCTTTGAAATCAGATTTTTAATTCACTGAACGCATAGTGTGCAGAAAGCGGGAGAAGATAATAGCCTTGACAGTTGGTGGATCATCTCTGTCAAAAGCTTTGGAGCTTATTGTGAACTGTAGCAAGATCATGCATAAAATCATTCGATGATACAGCAACGGAGTTTACATCCAATGGATACCCAGAAGCGTAAATAATGTTTTTTCTAAAATATTGTAACCCTTAAAAATTGTGCTAAGAATGAAGGAGATAATTTTCTGGATAGCAAAATGATAAGTTTGGTGAGTTAAAGCTGAGAAGAGGGACCAAATATGCGAAGAGTAAGAATATGCTTTAGTTCTTGCGGTAGAAAAAAGTGCAGGCCTTTACGGCGTCTTTGTTTCTCTTTAATATAATCTGTTGTTTCAGGTATGTCAGAACCTGGAAATCGATCGCCAGCACAAGAAACGCAACCGATTACTGATGAAGATGAAGTTTTTTTACGGGAGCGAAAAACATATTCAGATCTTTCTTCTTTCAACCAATTCGGGGATCTTTTAACATCAAATCCTGTAATCAGCAAATTCCATATATTTTTGTTGCATCTATAGAAATGTGCTTTTTCTTGGGAAAGACGGCTTTGTAAAAAGTCGTTAAGAGGCTTTCCTTTTTCATCTGCTTTTAACCCAGAACTGTCTGTTGTTTAACGCCTTCTTTGTTTGATTGTTAGTCTGTCTAGAAATTTTCGTTCAGTAAGATTGTTTTTTAGGTTTTAATTCTGTAGGTTTAATCAGAAACTTCTGGGATTTACATTTTCTTTTGGCCTACTTGCTGTTCCTTCTGCAAACCCTTTTAAATTACTGCTGCGTCAAGCTTGAATAGCGGCTTTTAGGTTCTAATTCGTCTGTAATAAAGCTTTATTTCGCAGCCAATTTCTTGTGAAGTGGCTAGAAGTATGACTGTATCGCAATGAACTACTTTAACTGCAAAACTTATCATTGATTACGTAGGGAAGTGATGCTGAATTGCAACAAAAAAATGCGTCGGTTGCTTTGTCATTTTTGCTTTTCACTTTACAGTCGTTGACTTATTTTTTTTCGTTTTTTCCTTTACCGTTTGATTAGTAAAACAACATTTTTTGACTAAGACACTTACTTAAAAGTTTTACCTGTTTGTCAGAAACTTTATCGTTCTTGTCAAATAGCGTCACTGTGGAGGTGAATTTACTGTGCCATTAAAAGACACTGCCTCTAGTTAGGTGAGAAGAAACTCAAGTTGCTTGCAGATTATCTCTTATATGAGCACTGTAACTGTCTAGAGCTCAGATATTAACTACTTTTTGCAAATATCAACTATAAAACTATTTAGTTGCTGCAGGATTGCTAGGGCTTTGTTGAGTATCATTTATATGCAGGCACTCTATGGTTTGCTTCGTTCTCCTTCCGTACTTTAGAAAATTCTGCTAGTTTTGGGGTCTTTTGTTCTAGTTGACCTAATGTTAAGGGTGCTAATTTGGTTCTTATGTTGGAAGACGAATTTAATCTGTCTTGCATTGTGACACTCTTATATGCATGTAATTTTTAGGTCTCTTGTGACAAAGAGTTACTGAAGGAAGGTTGTTCAGCGTCTCGAAAGGAGAGTGACTTGTACGTGAGGGACTACAAAGTCTCAACATCTCATGTTAATGAGTATGTGAGCAGTGAAAATGAGTTGGAACGTAGTACCCATCATTCAGCACTTTCCCCTGGTGCAAATAAAGAGGGAGCCGGAGGAGCTAGAGGAGATTACGGAACCGGCTGCGATATTACCATTGACAACATTCCCGATAAAATTAGAGAACTCGTTCTTCAGCCAAGCGGAAGTGGAATACAATGCGAGCGCAGTTCCAAAAATATTACAGAAACCCAGACAGGGGAAGCGCAAAACCCGGGCTCGTCTAAAAGAGGTCAGTTTCACGTTCTAGCTTCTTATATCGTGTTTATTCGGTAAATCATAAAATTGCGAAAAATGTTTTGACATATGATACAGCTCTTACAGTCACTTTTTTCTAAGACTTACAGTGACAACTAAAGTAAACACCCATCATAACTACTATTATCATTTATTAAGTCTTTCGTTTTTTCTTGATTATGGGAAATATTTTTTATCAGTCGTTTAAATTAAATTGAAAGTTGAAATTCATCGGGACTTAGAAAGTTCCATGTTGTTTATCAAAGTTTTTTTGCCTTCTGTTAAGTCGCTTTTTAGGAAGTTTTTTTTGGCATTAATTAGCGTTTCTTCTGTTACTCATTTGGTGTTGAGCTTTGCCTTTTGAATAGAGAACCTTCCTTGAGGTTTCCGGGTAAAATATTAGTGCAAAAGGTGATTTTAAAAGAAAGTATGGAAAATCTTTGTAAGAAAGCGAATAGACTGTTCATAGCGTACTGCTTTCCGTTCTGTTCATAACCACGATATTTTCAAACGGCACCTGTTTGCGTTTCAGGTTTTTTAATAAAACGCTTTGTGAGGGGTCTCGCTTCAATAAATTTTTTTTGGCGTCTATTTTTTTGATATTTCCTGTCTTGCTTTAGCTACGATGCTACTACTTTCTCCTTTAGTTATGCGTTAAGTTTAGCTAAAAAGAGGTCGATGGAGTTTTCCCTCGTAAGCAAAGCTGAGCACAAGCGTTGGCGTCAAGAAATCGATGGTTTTACGCAGTATTCGGAGTGGGTCGCTAAAGTCAATGAGTCACGCAGTGAAGAAAAACTTTGTTTTGAAAGCGCCGAAAGTGTTACTTCATATGACCCAGCGGAAGAGTATTTCTTTCATGCGAATATTCCACTTGTAGATGAAGAGGAGTTTGCTGAAATTAATAGATTTGTTGATGGGGTACGCAGGTTCTTTCATTAAGGAAATGTTCGAGAATTTTTTTTCTTTTATCGGCATATTATAAATTATGGATATAAAGCGCTGTAGTCTGTTTCCTTCTATAGCGTTGATGTTTTAAACAAGGAACTGCGTTGATGTTGAAGATACGGGGTGTTTACTGTGTTTTTTATATGTAAGAATTTTTGAGTACCTAAGAAATGCTTGATTTTAGAGGCCTTGGTATTTGAGGAATAAGAACTGCGCTTTTCAGGTAAACAAAAAGATAGATAATCAGGAGAAGGAAGTAGCAGAAGCAGATGCGAACTTGCGAAAACAGAAGAAGATGTGGAATCAAAGGGAAGAGTGGGATCCTTTCCTTGCGGATAAACTTGGAAGGAAAAAAGAAATAGATCAAGCTAAAAAATACGAAGTTTGTTTTCCTTTTTCCATCTGGCTTGATCACCGGAGGTTGGTAGTGTGTGACTTACTGCAAAGGATGAAGATGAGATTGCCTGGTGGTCCAAATTTATTTAATTACTTTATTCTTCATAAAATCGTGTAGTATTTTCAGAATATTCATTTATATATATGCTATGCATGTGGCCGGGCATTTGATAATGAAAAGGACATGAGAAGTCATGTTAATACAGTTCACCTTAGCAATCAGGTGAT